AACCTGGAAACTCCAATAATCAAACGGAAAATAAGGATTCATCAACAAGTACGCTTCAGGATAATGTTATTAAAGTCATCGGCAAACGTAGAGCGACTAGAACCTTCGCACCAGCCATCCACCAGGACTTCGTCGATCGCTGGTATGATATCGTAAAATTTGGATTAACCAAAGAGGACGTTGAAACAGTTAACTCGAAATACTCACCTCCTATCAACTGTGTCGAAATCGATCCGCCGAAACTAAACGAGGAAGTAAAAATCAGCTTCAAAGACAAACAAGCACCCCTACTACGAGACGGCCGAATTGTTGAAAAACAACAAAAAATAGCAACCTGTATTTCAGCGACGTCAAAAGCTATCTCATTCATTATCGGGAAAGATTCCTTATCGAGTGTTGATATCATCTCCTTAATTGAGACATTGAGCGATACAACCCGTCTACTACTTGACCTTCAATTTAACGAATCACAGATTAGAAGAAATCTAATATTGGCAAACATCGATGATGGCTTAAAAGAAGCATTGAAATCCACAACTGTCGACGAGTTCCTATTTGGAAAAAACATAGTAGAATGTCTAAAGTCAGCCAAGATAATGGAGTCATCTTCAAAAATCCTTAAGCCGAAGTCGAAATATACAGCTCCAAAAAACTCGAAAGGCCCGTATCCACAACGAGCTCAGCAGAAGAATTATCCTGCAGTGCAGAACGGGCCGAGACGAACATTTGCAGCTCCCCCAAGACCGTTCAAAACTCGATATCCGCAGAACAAGACTTCTTACAAGAGGGATCATCAGAGGAAATAGAAGTTGTACCTGTAAGTAAAGTTGCTGGTAGACTAAGATTCTTTTCTAAACAGTGGGAGGCTCTAACCTCCGACTCTGTCATTATTTCTTGGATCAAAGGTTATAAAATCCCTTTTTCAACAACTCCACAACAATCAAATATTATTAATATAAATTATCAATTTTCTGAAATTGATGACAAAAACATATTCGACTCGATTTCTAAACTTTTACATAAAGGAATAATAGAAAAATGCACACCTACCAAAAATCAATTTATATCAAGTTATTTTTTGAATCTAAAATCAGACGGAACTTATAGATTTATTCTCAATCTCAAAAAGTTAAATAAATTTATTCAGACAACACACTTTAAACTTGAGGACTATAGAACGGCCATTGGCCTCATAGATCCTGACTGTTTTATGACAACCTTAGATTTACAGGACGCTTTCAATCTAGTTTCGGTACACAAGTCTCATAGGAAATACTTAAGATTTGAATTTCACAATCAATTGTATGAATTTACCTGTTTGCCTTTTGGCTTATGTACAGCTCCCCATGTATTTACGAAAATTATGAAACCGGTTATCTCAAATTTAAGAAAACAAGGTTTTCGTTCAGTTATCTACTTAGACGACTTTCTCTTATTTGGAAATACCTATGAAAACTGTATTCAAAATTTGGAAACTACTAAAATTAGTTTAAAACAATTAGGTTTTTTGTTAAATTTAGAAAAAAGTCAAACTATCCCTGATAATAAATGTACCTACTTAGGATACATATTTAACTCAAACTTAATGACCATAGAACTACCCGAAAAAAAAGCGCATAAACATCGATAAACAATTAAAATCTTTTAATAAACCTAAGAAATGTAAAATTCGAGATATTGCTAAATTTATTGGGTCCATCGTAGCTTGCTGCCCAGCTATTAAATATAGCTGGCTATATACGAAAAATTTCGAAAGACAAAAGTTTATCGCTTTAAAGGCAAATGCCGGAAATTACGATGCAATCGTTACATTTTATCCAAACGTATCAGACATTCAATGGTGGCAGTCTCACATTAAATTTGGGGTTAATTCTATAAGAGGGTTCAACTTTTCTCTGGAAATATTCACAGATGCATCATTAACTGGATGGGGAGCTGTATGTAACAATAAAAAGGCTAACGGATTTTGGTTAGAAAATGAAAAAGAAAAAGCAATAAACGTCTTAGAAATGCAAGCAGCTTTTTTTGGACTAAAATGCTTTGCAAGTGATTACCATGATTGCGAAATTCTCTTAAGAATAGATAATACTACAGCTATCTCCTATATTAATAGAATGGGTGGCATCAAATTTAAAGGGTTAAATAAAATTTCAAAAGAAATTTGGCAATGGTGCGAAAAGCGCAAAATTTGGATTTTCGCTTCATACATTAGCTCGAAAGAAAACTTTCTAGCTGATAGAGAATCACGAAAATTGGAGCCCGAAACGGAATTTGAATTATGTAATTCCGCCTTTTCTAAAATTATTCAAAATTTTTATAAACCCGACATTGATATATTTGCTAGTCGAACAAATAAAAAATGTGCTCGATACGTTTCCTGGTGTAAAGATCCTGGATCTGAAGCAATCGATGCTTTCACATTAGATTGGAGCAAATTCCTATTTTACGCTTTTCCGCCATTCAGCATTATTCTAAAAACCCTCCGAAAAATTAAAAGAGACCAAGCAGAAGGTATCATGGTTGTACCTGATTGGCCAGCACAACCATGGTACCCATTATTCCATTCAATGTTAATTAAAAAACCTATCTATTTTAAGCCAAATATAAATCTTTTGACTTCTTGTGATAGGAGCCATCATCCTCTATGGAGAAACCTTTCCCTGGTATCCGGACAGTTATCAGGGAAGCCTTCACAAGACAAGAAACACCCGACGAATCGATAAATATTGTAATTGGCTCTCTTAGTGAATCTTCACTTAAAAGTTACGAATGCTCCTTGAAAAAATGGTGGAAGTTCTGTGATAAAAATTCAATTGATCAATATGAACCCACAGTCACTCAAATTTTATCTTTTCTTACGAACGAGTTTAACAACGGATTATCTCATAGTTCAATTAATGCAACCAGGTCGGCTATATCTTTAATAATGAAATCCAATATTTCCCAAGACTCAAGGCTAAAACGTTTTTTTAAAGGCGTCTATGGTTTAAGACCTTCGAGGCCGAAATATGATCACACCTGGGATCCGAAATCGGTCCTTGACTATTTTAGATCAAAACCACCTAATCAAGAACTAACTTTAGAGCAAATATCCAAAAAACTAATAACACTTTTGGCCCTTGTAACCGGGCACCGAATGCAAACCTTTTCTCTAATTAAACTCGAAAATATTATAATAAATGATAAGTCTATTATGATTAAGATTCCGAACCGTATAAAAACGTCCAATAGAAATAGATCACAACCCTTGCTAATTCTTCCAATTTACCAAGAAACGAAAGTTTGCGCAGCATCAGCCTTATTACTTTACCTACAAAAAACAGAACAAATTAGAAATTCAAATCAAGAATTGTTTTTGTCGTTTCGTAATCCTTTTAAACCTGTTACCTGCCAGACTCTAAGTCATTGGGTTAAAGATACCCTGAATGATAGCGGAATCGATACAGAGGTGTTCACGTCACACAGTACACGTCACGCGTCTACTTCCGCCGCTAAAAGATCTGGAATCGATATAGCTTTAATACGTAAAACGGCTGGTTGGACTAAAGACTCCGAATCATTTGCGAAATTTTATGACAAGCAAATTGTTACCGACGCTAACCAATTCGCATTAAGTATCCTTCAAGGATAATCGTTTTGTTTGTTTAACTATAATGCAAAAAATTGTTCTAATTAAATCAATGATTATTATTCAATTTTTCTAATTGATGTTTAACTTTCACGAGATTAATTATATTGAATAATGTTATATTACAAATTAACCGAAATAAAGAATTTATAACATCAAATAATAATTTATCAGTTATATATCATGCCGTAATCAACTTTCAACATCTACGAGTTGATCTTGAGGAGGAGGCGCTAAATACAATTGTTAAATTGAACGAACATACCTTGTGAAGTTCGATTTAAATTGTATGTGCGCCTCCTCCGAAAAGATCAAACCCACCCAAAGCCCAATTATCTAAAACCATTTACATTAGTTAACTTCCCTATTTAACAATTACGGCATCACTTTAAAATAAATGAAAATAAAACAACAAATGAAGATCTCAAAATAAGTGAAGACCTAAATAAGCGCGAAATTGAAAATTTTTTTGCTTTAAAAATGTGATAATTTTGGCACGAGATCCGGGGACTACGAGTTGATCTTTTCGGAGGAGGCGCACATACAATTTAAATCGAACTTCACAAGGTATGTTCGTTCAATTTAACAATAAATTCTGTAAATTTCATTTTTAAAGTCGAAAATTCTATTTGGATTAAATTTTAATTTTTAATTTCTAATTTTTATATTTTGAATTTTGTATTTAATATTTTTATATTAAGTACTTTTTTTATCTCAATCATTAAAATACTTAATATACTTTAATTTAAAACTACTAAGAAAATTCTAATTGTAGAACATTTTCCCCGCCCTAGAGAGACAAATAAAAAAAACCAGAATATTCTCCTTCAGTTCGATTCGAAAAAGACGAAATCAATTAATATTTAAAAATCAACCGAGTCAGGTAAATGTTCGACTATTAAGTTCGAAAGCATTTTTTTACGAGCAAATGGTTTCGAGCATCATCGATTTCCATATAAACACGATTCTTATGTGTTCTCCTTTACTTATATTGTATATATTATTTTGTTGAGAATTCACGTTATTTTCGTACACTAGGTGTGTCACGAATGACGTCATTCTTTATACACAACAATATCACATACGTTTGTGATTAACTGACAGAAAATTGTGTGTGGGATACCTTTCATGATTTCTTGTAATTCAAAGCCCTTGTGTGTGCATTTAGGTCGAAGTGTAATCAAATTAATGGAAATAGTCAATCGGACTTTTTTTTATCTCTTCCCCAGACTCCATTTTGCCCGTGGAACGAAAACAAATAAATCAATAAATAAAAATTGTTCTCTTTTTGTAAGAAAGTAAATAAAAAAAAAGCATAAAAAATCTCTTACCTCTTTTTTTTTAATAAATTGAAAAAAATCTTTACACTCACTCTGTATCAGGAACGGGAATCATAGAAGCTGGTAGACGACCGTTGTGATCCAAAAAATGATTATTTTCGGGTTCTTCTTGTACTGGAGTCTCGTACACTAGAGTTTCCACCATTGATCCTTTACTCGAGCCGAAGGATACCCTACAAAAAATTCACATCATTAATTTTGCATTCTTTACTAAACGAAAATTAATTTTTCATCTCTCCTAGTAAAATCAAACAGAAAAAAAAATAAGAAAAAATAAGAAAGGAGAAAAATGTAAAAGAGAATAAAAAATAATGAGAAAAAATAAAAAAGAAGAAAAAACAAAAAAGGAAAAAACGAAAAAGAAGAAAAAAAAACAAACAAACAAAAAGAGAAAAAATATAAAGAAAAGAGAATATATTCATTTCGGAAAGAAAATTTCTACAAATGTTCATAAATTAAAAAAGAAATAAGAATAAACCGTAAAGAAAAAAAATATTTCTAGTATCCGGAATCTGGATTCGATATTTTTTTCTATTCTTTTCCTTTTTTTTGGTTCGAGACTGAGACAGCCGCAAAAATACGAACACAAACCTCAATTTTCTATTCCGTGACTAAAACTTGCTACAGCGAATGGACAGTCTATATAACCGCAGAAAGGTATCAAAATTGTAATCATAAGTGATGACGGATCAAATTTCTTTCGAGTCTGGTCATTGACCGAATTCGAAAGTTTGTCCCAATTTATGAAAACAAAGAAAAAAAAACCTAATCCCCCCCTCCCCCTCGGATAAGTATTAAAAAAAAATTCATTTCATTTAAAGTAAATCAAGACTAATGATCAAGACTAATGAGTTGATAAGAATAATTAACTATGACGTATAAATGAAATTTTTCAGAGATCATCCGTTAATTTTAGAATTTCTGTATAATTAAATGACAACGCAAAGTCTCTTTAATTAAATCTAATAATTATTTTTTCCGCTTGGTTTTTCCAAATAATAAATTCATAAGCTCTAGTATATATATATAACTGATTAAGAAAAAATGTCACACTATTCTAAATCGTCCTATCCAATTCTAATTAAATAGGAAATTGATTCGATTTCACTGTCATTCGTATAACGAAGAAGCTAATTAAAGAACTAATTACAAGTGTATATTTATATTCTTTTTTTCTGTATTTTGCCTGTCATTGTTTGTCATACAATTTTGTTAAAATAATTTCCTCTTTTCAAATTATTTTTCAACTCCAAATCTTTTTTTTTTTTTTTGGTTTCTTAAAAAAAATACTATTTTTTGTGACTGTAAAAATTCCCCAACTTTTCTCTAATTAAAAACTGAGCAAATTGAAGAAATAAATTTTGCCCTTGTAAACAAAATAAAAAAACTAATAAATAAACAAATTTTGCCCCTGTAACTAAAATAAATAAATAAATTTTACCCGTGTAATCAAAATAAAAAATAACAATAAATAAACAAATTTTGCACTTGTAACCAAAATAAATAAATTTTGCCCGTGGAACAAAAATTAAAATAAATTAACAAATTTTGCCAGTGTAACAAAAATAATTAACCAAATTTTGCTCCTGTAACCAAAATAAGTAAATAAATTTTGCCCCTGTAATAAAAATAAATAAATTTTACCCCTGTGAGAAAAATAAATAAACAAAATAATAATTTAAATTTTAAATACTTAAATCGTCGTTTAAAAATTGTAATATCTGATATTTAAAATTTTAAATAAAAAAATAAGAAATAAATATGAATAAAAAATGAAAATAATATAAATTTTGATCAATAATCAAGTATAGATTGGGTTCGGATCTGAACTAAAAGCGAGCGCCACGAAGTGCTGACACCTAGCGCACATGGAATTCATCGTTTCGGGGTGTATAAAAAGAGAGACAGAGAAGGAGATATAAGAAGAGACGAATAAATTGGATACTCAATATGTCAAAGTCACGTGTACTGCCGGCATTTTAACTTTACTGACGAAGCATCAAAGACACGCTTACTATAATATAAATGTGTCATCATTGCCGACAATGATGTAACAATCTCCCACTCTTTTCTTTTTCATAATAGTTGCTCTTTCATTTATAAGGGTCTCACTAATCGTTATGCAATGAAACTTTCAACAAAAGCTCGATACATTCCTAATTATTATTAACAAACACTCAATATTCTCGTTTAGTCTATTTTTTCAAAATGACAAATCTCAAAAAAACTAATAAAATGAAAAAAATACGTTTTCAAAATTATTTCATTTATCGTAACGATCGTAACAAAATTTATTTTTAATAATTTTATTTAAAATTTATTATTTATTTATTTATTTATTCAAAATTTATTTTTCTTTATGGAAATTTTCTAATAATGACAATGTTTCAAACATCTCCCTTTTCCACTTTTTCAAAATTCTTTTTCTTTTTTCATCTTTATACATTTTTTCTTTTTCGATCATGTGCTTGAAAAATAATAATTTTAAATTGAAAAACATTCTAATTAATATTTTAACAATTTTAATTAAATTATTAAAATATTAACTTTGATACTAATTGTATCAAAGTTAGTTCAAAATTACTTGATTATTTTATTGAAACAAATTTTCTTGAAACATTTGAAACATTAAAAAAATAAAAAATTTCGTAACAATAAATACAATAATTTTCTTCTTTTTAATAAAATAGAGAAAAATGTAAACGTTCAAACAAGAATAATTTCAAAATAAAAAATTTTCCAATTAATATTTAAGTAATATAATTATTGCTACATTTAATGGACATTAAAGTTAATTGAAAATAATAATTTTCATAAAAATTTTTTATTTTTTAATAATCTAATTTCCGTAAATAAAAAAAAAATGATAAAGATATCATTTCTTGAAAATAATGAAGATTTTTTTTAATACATTTTAAAATTTTTTCTAAACATTTCAATTCTTCGCAGAATTTTATTACAATTTTTAAAAATAACTGAATTCTTTCGAGAAATTTTATAAAAATAGTAATAAAAATAATTCAACTCAAGCAAAGAAATGTATTATTTATGAAAACAATTCAATTCTTATAAAATATTTTATTAAATTAATAAATAATAAATATTTTTAAAAATAATTTAATCTTTTTGACAAATTTTATTACAATTTTTTGAAAATAATTGAATTTTTCCGAAGAATTTTATTGTTTATGAAAATAATTTAATTCTTGTGAAGAAGTTTATTATTTATGGAAATAATTGAATTCCTTTTAAACCATTTTATCAAAATTTATGAAAATCATTGCATTCTTCAGAAGAATTTTATTATTTATAAAAATAATTGAATTCCTTTTAAACCATTTTTTATTAAAATTTTTAATAGTTATTGAATTCTTCAGAAGAATTTTATAATTTTTGATAATAATTGAATAATCGCGAAAAATTTTATTAAAATTTTCGAAAATAATGCAATGGAATTCTATTATTTTGAAAATAATTGATTTCTTCCGAAGAATTTATTATTTTTTAAAATAATTGAATTGTTGCAAAGGATTTTATTATTTTTATAATTAATTAAATGCTTGCAAAGAATTTTATTACTTATGAAAATAATTGAATTCTCGCTAGGAATTGTATAAACGTTTTTGAAAATAATTAGTCAATTCTGCTCAAGAATTTTATTATTTTTTAAAATAATTGAATTCTCCCAATGTATTTTATTATTTTTATAAATAATAAATAATTTCAAATAGTAAAGTTTCTAATTAATATTTAAATAATTCAATTATTATCAAAGTTAATCGAAATTAATAATTTCCATAAAAATTTCTTATTCTTCCAAAATTCAATTATTTGCAAAAAAAAAAGTGAAAATCTAAATAAAAGTAAAAAATTCCTAACGATAAATGAAATAATTTTCTCTCGAATAGAGAAAAAGCTCACTTGTCCCCCAAAAATTGTTTTGACGCTTAATTTCCAATTTGACGTCATTCCCAAAGGAATAATATAGTTATAGATTGTTAACGCTCGAGTGGGTGCCCAGTACACACAGCTTCCGGAATAAATCGTCCTCTTTTGCGTGTGTTTAATACGATATTCAAAAATAGTCAGCGCAAGCAAGAAAAGTCGATGGGCATATATCACTCGCGAAAATAGATGTCATACGCAGTTGTTTTGGCAAGATTATAGTTATACACATTTACATGGAAACCAAAGTATAAACAATAAGAAAAAAAATTGTCCTTGATCTTCCTAAGTTTTGAAAAAATGGAATTGTTTTATTTTTGAAAAATGGATTGTGTAAAAAAAGAGAAAAAAAAGTTACAAGTAGCTACTCTAACGGTTCATTAAACTAAAAATACAACCTAGAGATCGAAATTGACTGATCTATTCTCGTTTCATTATTAAAATACAATCCTAGTCGGCCTCCAAGTGTTTTAATTAATCTGCTCCAAATCTGGAATTCTTAACCCAATAACTCTGTAGTTACTCACTTAAAAAAAGTCCCTCCTTTTAGAATACAAGGGATTGAGTGTGTTTTCTCATAAACGCAAAGGGGGAGAATGAATAAAAAAGCAAAAAAGAAAAAAACTTGACTGATGTAATCGCAAGCACGCGTACATCTACTTGTTAGTGACCGAAATTCTTTGAAAGGCTTGCCTCGAATTCCAAAGCAAACGTTTGTGATTTAAAGTCCACTCAATTTTAGAACGTGATTCTTGTATACCTCCATAGTACCTTGACAGTGAACGACATATATACTGTGACTCCGATCGCGTTTCCCTCCTTTTTCTGTCTCTCGTTACTCTCTCATTTAATTCGCGTGGTCACGCACGACGACGCACACACGCGTTGTTGTTTTTTTTTCTTTCTTTCGTTTCGTTTCCATAATGTGAGTCTCTCTCATCTTTGAAGGCAGACACGTGGGTGCACGTTTACACACACCGAAAAGTCACGAGAGAGAGAGAAAAAAAGTCCTCCTTTGCAATTCCACAAATGTCATCGTTTCAATTTAACTGTCGGCGTTTTACGCGTACTGTTTTTATTTTCTTTTCATGCAAATGAATTATTTTCTTATTTTCTGCGAATTTTTCCCTTCCCGACGACAATCGAAATGCTTCTTCTTATTTAAATCGACGAAACTTCACGCTCGCTCTCTCCTAAAAATTCTAAATATTCGATAAGTAAGAAATAAATTCACAAAAATATTCATGAATATTTTAAAAGGTTTATCATTTTCATCAGAATAAATAAATAAGTAAACTAATAAATAAATAAAAGAGAAAATATAGAAATAAATAAAAGAGATGTTATTCATTGTAATTTTCAATTTAAATTGATTTAAATTTACAGGAAAATGAATATAAATTAACAATAAAAAATTCGAAAATATGTGAATGAAATAAATGAGAAATGTATAAAATTCTTTCTAAATTTATAATTAACAATATTTTTGTAATAAATTATTATCGTATTAAATTATAGAATTACAAAAAAAATCTAATCAAGTTTTTGCAAAATGTAAAATTGAAGCAATACAAAAAACAAATAGAGGTGCAATTTAATAAGACAATAATTTTAGAGAAAGTTTACTCTCAGAGATGAAATTATTATAAAAAGATGTGTGAAATAAAATACAAGAGAATTGAAATCGTTTCCCAGGATACTTTGATTTCATGTAATAATAATTAAAGTTCCCGGCGTAAGTTATACTTTCGCAGATATGAGCGATTGGATAATCGGTTTTCAAAATTGTGTATAGGTATTAAAGAAAAAAATATAGGTCTCGCAATGAAAAGTATTTAAAAGAAATACTGTATTCAAAAAACTGCATTTAAAAATCTGTATTCTAGAAATACTATAGTAAATGCTAAAAAAAGATTTTCGTTTTACTCAAATTCTAAAATTTCCTTTTCACATATTTTCAAATGTAAAACAAATTTCTCCAAATTGGTAATATTTTTAGAATAGTAAAACTACATTTTTCATTGTTACAGTTTAACCCAATTTTCGGTTATAAGAAAATTCAAAATTAAATTAAAAATTCAATTTCTATTTACGTTATTAACTGAATTCTTCTAAAGAAATTTATCAAAAATAAAGAATTATTTTGAAAATAATTGAAATCTTCAAGGAAACTGATTAAAATTTTTAAAAATAATTCAATTTTATCAAGAAATTTAATTGAAATTGCTTCTAAAATAATTGAATATTTGCGAAGACTTTCATTAATTATAAAAATTAATGAATGAATTAATTAATTAATTAATAAATTAATTAATTAATTAAAATTAATTCTTGTGAAGATTTTTATTATTTATGAAAATAATTAAATATTTGCGAAGAATTTTATTAATTATAAAAATAATTTAATTCTTGTGGAGAATTTTATTATTAATGAAAATAATTGAATTTCTATTAAACCATTTTATCAAAATTTTTTAAAATCATTGCATTCTTCAAAAGAATTTTATAATTTTTGAGAATAATTGAATTCTTCCGAAGAATTTTATTCAAATTTTCAAAACTAAAGCAATTCATCCGAAGAATTCTAATATTTTGAAAATAATTGAATGCTTGCAAAGAATTTTATTATTTATGAACATAATTGAATTCTTTTAGAACCATTTTATCAAAATTTTTATAAATAATTCAATTATAATTGTGAAGAATTTTATTATTTATGAAAATAATTTTAATTCTTGTCAAGAATTTTATTATTAATAAAAATAATTCAATTCCTATTAAACCATTTTATCAAAAATTTTTAAAATCAGTGCATTCTTCAAAGGCGTTTTATTATTTATAAAAATCATTTAATTCTTCAGAAGAATTTTATAATTTTTTATAATAATTGAATTCTTGCGAAGAATTTTAATAAAATTTTTGAAAATAATTCAATTCTTTGGAAGAATTCTATTATTTTGAAAACAATGAATTCTTGCAAAGATTTTTATTATTTATAAAAGTAATTGAATTCTTTTAGAAACATTTAATCAAAATTTTGGAAAGTAATTTAATTCCTGCCAAGAATTTTATTATTTATGAAAATAATTTAATTCCTTTTAAAACATTTTATCAAAACTTTTCAAAATCATTCAATTTTTCAAAAGAATTTTACAATTTTTGAAAATAATTTAATTCCTTTTAAACCATTTTTTATTAAAATTTTTAAAAATCATTGAATTTTTCAGAAGAATTTTATAATTTTTGATAATAATTAAATTCTTGCGCAAAATTTTATTATTTACGAAATTAATTTAATTCTCGCGAAGAATTGTATCAAAAGTTTGGAAAATAATTGAATTCTTGTCGAGATTTTTATTATTTATGAAAATAATTGAATTCTTGCGAAGAATTTTATTATTTACGAAATTAATTGAATTCTCGCGAAGAATTTTAATACAATTTAAAAAAATTGAATTTTTGCAAAAAATTGTATCAAAACCTTTAAAAATAGTTGAATTCTTGCGGAGAATATTATTATTTATGAAAATAATTGAATTCTTGATTAAAATGTTATTATTTACAAAAATAATTGAATTCGAATAAAGAATTTGAGTGAAATTTATGAAAATAATTTAATTTTTGCAAAGAATTGTGTCAAAAATTTAGAAAATAAATTGAATTCTTCGGTAAAATTTTATTATTAATGAAAATAATTGAATACTTGAGAAAAATTTTATTAAGATTTTTGAAAATAATGCAATTGAATTCTATTATTTTGAAAATAATTGAATTCTCAAAAAGTATTTTATTATTTTTAAAAACAATTAAATTCTCGAGAAGATTTAATTAAAATTGTATTGAAAATAAATAAATAATTGAATTCCTATGAAGAGTTTTATTATTAATGAAAATATTTGATTTCTTTCGAAAAATTTATTATTTTTTAAAATAATTGAATTGTTGCAAAGGATTTTATTATTTTTATAATTAATTAAATGCTTGCAAAGAATTTCATTACTTATGAAAATAATTAAATTCTCGCGAAGAATTTTGTCAATATTTTTGCAAAAAATATTTTTAATATATAATTGTCAATTGTGAGAAGGTTGTAAAGAATATCAAAAAGGTAACATGAAAATCAATGATAAAGTTTTCAAGAAAAATGAAAAAATTAACCCAAAAATCATCGTAAAAGTTGCAAAGGAACGTTTCGATTTTAAAAGAAACTTTAGAGATCATTAAAGTAATTATCGAAAAAACTTTGTCGAATTTCGTGCACGCTAATCAAGGATAATTTAAATAAATTTAGTTTAAATTTAGTTGCTGAAGGTTAAAAATGATTACAGTGGGGAGAAATATTTACCTTTTGAGACTAGCGTGCTTTGCACCATTGAGAATTTTATTTTTCCTCTCACTACCAACAGTACTGGCATCACTGTCAATACTATAGAGACTGTCGTCCTTGGTGACTCGAGATGTATGGAGGGTTGATTTTCGGGCGGTTCCATTATGCTTTGGACTCTCAATTGGTATCACTGTTTGTCCTTGAATTTGCGTTTGATGGTACCGATCACCGGTACCATCCTCAAGTCTCGCCAGTAGCGTTGAGTTCATTGTTCTATTCGAGTCGACAGATTTCTTCATCACATTGCTCGCAGTGTAATTTCGCAGATCGTTGTGATTTTGTAACTTTCGACTCGGATCGCCGGGCGGTGGTTTGTCCTCCGTTGGCAGCATGTACGACAACATTTCTATCCTCTATTAAATCTGAATCTGCAAATAGAAACGAAAATTAGTCTTCTACATTTGATTCCTATGTATTTATTTTATTTCTCTTTCTATTCCCCATTTTTACTTATCGTTCTTCTTTTCGTTCTTAAAATTTTTCGTTTTCAATTTTTTTTACTTTGTTCTTTGGGATTTTGGAAGAAAATTAGAAATCTGATTGAATTGATAATAGAAAAAAGAAATTTGATCCTCGAAAAATGTTTCGAGGACGAAATTCGAAAACAAAACAAACACCTACGTACATCCGTCAATCGTTGAAAAATTATCCGTTAGATACGCTTAATTAAACGTAATAAAGCATTTTTAACGTTTTTAATTTGTCACGATTACCAAGCCTTTTTTGACGAGAAGGAAAAATTGAAAAAAAACAAAATAGAAACAAAGGAAGCTTGAGAGAGGCAAATTAGAAGAATCCGATTGCTTCGTGATGATAAAAAGATGTACTTATTGTTTCAGGTAAAATTCTCTTAATCAAATAGTGAAGAGTATTCGAAATATTTCCCCTCGCCTTTAAAGAATTCTTTCTAAAGATTTTGTAACGATTTTTTAAGCGTATTAACAAAACAATAAGGAAGACAATCGTCTAAAGAAACTAATAATAGCCGAGTCAGCTGATTTCTGTCAAAGATTCCATCACGAGAATATTGTCCCGTTTATTTTTTCTATGTTAATATTCCCACAAAATGAAAAAATTACATCAGTTGATATTTAAATTTTTAATAATTTAGAAAATATTTCCAAAAAAAATCGAGAAGTAATAAAATAAAAAATAATTAAAAGCACAAAAAATAATAAACAAATCGATTTTACTATTTTTATCCTATTTTTACAAACAAAAATAGTAAATAAAAATATTTATTTATTTATTCAAACAATATAGAATTAATACTTCTTTTTCTTGTTTTTTGTATTTTTTGAATTTTTTGCATAAATTGAAAGAAAGTGTTAAAGGGACTTTTTTTCGTTTCAATAAATAAACTTACGATTTATAAAATAATGATTGCGGAAGAGACGAATGTTCGCCAGGAGAACGTCAAACCACAACTGGCGCGGCAACCGCGACGCAAAACCGAACCAAAGGTTATAATACTAACAGAATGAATATGACCGGCATAGGTGGCTTGTTTTGAATATATGCACTATCAATTGACACGCATTGAACGACATTATACCTGGTGCAAATCTGCTAAATTATCGCCCATCCCTTCTCTGACCTTCGTTCTATATTATTTCATCATAAAACACTTCGTACACACTAATGAAACGTTTAAACTTTATGAAATCATCGACCGAAAAGTAGTCTTGTCTTGTCTTGTCTATAAAAAAAAAGAAAACAGATGTAGTAGGTACACGTTTATGAAAAATAAAAACAACACGCACGCGTTTGATAAGATAATAAGTATTGTTCCGCGAGGGAAAAGGGGGAGATTAGTATGAAATTCTTAATTTTGATAATTTAATCCCATTTATTTATTGAGGAAATCCGTTTTCAAGGCCTTTGCAAGCACGATCATATTGGCGTTTGGAATTATTTTCAATTGACTTCAATACAAAATTAGTATTAATTTAACAATTTTTTGTTTTTTCCAATAAAAGTGTTAAAATTGTGTGACAAAAGTAATTGATGACTTAAAGAAATGGAAATTTCAATTCAGTGTTTCAATTTAATAGAATTTCAACTGTATAAAAGTTTTAAATGAAAGAATTTTAAATCAAAATTCTCGTTTCATGGAATTTTTATTTATTAGAATTTTTATTCAACTGAATTTTAAAATATATGTAAATTTCTAAACAATTTTTTTAATTTCAACCAATAGAATTACAATTTAAATTTTGCAAAATTAGAATTAAAAGAATTTTAAATCAAAATTATTATTTAATGGAATTTATAATTATTAGAAGTTTTATTCAATAAAATCTTCGTTTAACAAAATTTATATTCAATCAAATTTTAAAATAAATCAATTTTTAAACAAAATTTGTTTTATTTTTAAATTTTTCTTTTATTTAATAAAATTTCAAACTTAATTTTTATTTAATAGGACTAAATATAAATGTGTGCCAATTAAAGTTCTGTAAAAAGAAAAATTCGATAAACAACATTTAACAGAATAGAAATTTTGGGAAAGAAAAATCCGAATTGAACAAAAATTTAATATAGAATTTCAACACTTTACAAAATTCAATTCTAAATTAAATGTTTAAAATTTCCTTTTCATTGAATTTGATTTCTGCAAAATTTTACTTTTATTTCATAAAATTTCTATTTAACTTAATTTTATTTAATACGGATAAATAGAATTTTTCTTTTTTTTGTAAATTAAAATTTTACAAAAAGAAAAATTCGATAAACAAAATTCAGTAGAAAAGAAATATTGGTAAAGAAAAATTTAAATTGAACAAAAATTAAACAAAATTTCAACTTTACGAAATTCAATTCTAAATAAAAAAAATTCCATTCATTGAATTTTGTTTTAGCGAAATTTTTCTTTTATTTAATAAAATTTTTTAGGTTTAATTTTTATTTAATGTGGCCTAATATAAATTTTCATAAAATAATAGGTATTCTATAGAAAGGAAAATTCCATAAAGTTCATTGGAATAGAAATTTTGGTAAAAAAGAATTTCAATTCAATAAAAATTAAATAAAAACTCTAATTTACAAAATTCGGTTCTAAATTGTATCAAAAGTTTTGAAAATAATTGAATTCTTGAGTAGAATTTTATTATTTACGAAATTAATTGAATTCTCACGAAGAATTATATCAAAATTTAAGAAAATTGAATTTTTGCGAAAAATTGTATCAAAAGCTTTAAAAATAATTGAATTCTTGCAGAGAATATTATTATTTATAAAGATAATTGAATTCTTGATTAAAATGTTATTATTTGCAAAATTAATTGAATTCTAATGAAGAATTTTATTAAAATTTATTAAAATAATTAAATTTTTGCGAAGAATTGTGTCAAAAATTTTTAAATTGAATTCTTCGGTAGAATTTTATTATTTATGAAAATAATTGAATTTTTGCGCAGAATTTTATTATTTACGAAATTAATTGAATTCTCGCGAAGAAATTTATTAAAATTTAATAAAATTGAATTTTTGCGAAAAATTGTATCAAAAGCTTTAAAAATAATTGAATTCTTGCGGAGAATTTTATTATTTACGAAATTAATTGAATTCTAGCGAAGAATTGTATCAAAAGTTTGGAAAATAATTGAATTCTTGCCGAGATTTTTATTATTTATGAAAACAATTGAATTTTTGCGTAGAATTTTATTATTTACGAAATTGATTGAATTCTCGCGAAGAGGTTTATTAAATTTTATGAAAATAATTAAATTCTTGCGCAGAATATTATTATTTGCGAAATTAATTGAATTCTTGCGAAGAATTGTATTAAAAGTTTTGAAAATAATTGAACTCTGGCCGAGATTTATATTATTTATGAAATTAATCGTATTCTCGCGAAGAATTTTATTAAAATTTATAAAAATAATTGAAATCTTGCCAAGAATTTTATCAAAATTTTTGGAAATAAATAATTTCTTCCGAAGAATTTTATTATTCTTAATAATACAACTCAATAGAAATTTCACTAAATTTAAATTCTACAAAAAGAAAAATTCGATAAATAAAAAATTCAACGGAATTGAAGTTTTGTATAAAGAAAAATTTCCTTTGAATAAAAATCCCACTTTACGAAATTCGAAACTCTAAAATCATAAAATTTTTCAAGAAGCTAAAATCGAACTAATTATTCTCTGTTTTGAAACGAGAAATTTATTTCTCGTATTAAAAAAATGTATTAAAAACTGTAATTAAAAAATTCACCTCTTTAAGAATAATCATAAGCTGCTCACCTGTAAAGAAAAAAAATTCCAAACAAAAAAAGTCGATTTGACTGCTGGACAGCATCGGAGAGCGTGATTTCTGCAACAATAAAATAAAAAGTAACAATTAGTCTCTAATGAGAAAAAAATTGTCATTTTTGTCAGGTGGTAATTTAGAAGTAAAATTTGGAGAAAGAAGAAAAGAAAGATAAAAAGAAAGTAGAAAAAGAAGATGAAGAAGAAGAAAAAGAAAAAGTAAAACGAGAGCCGAAAGTCTAGTGAAAAGCCCATTAACTGAGTCAATGTGTCCATGTGTACACGTCTGTCCCGAGGCAATGTTTTTTCAATGTAGGGGGAAGGGTAGAGGGTGATCTTGGCGGTGAATAGACACCTGTTTTTCACTAGACAGGAGACACGCGACTCACAAGTATACACACTCGCAAGTTTTCACAAATATGCATCATCTATTCTACATAGAAAGTCCGTGAGAACTTGAAAACGGGGTCGTTGACTCCCGCCGTCAAGTTTACAATTTCCAGGGGAAGTTGCATTGTGCAAATAAAATTTATTTCATATTAAAACCAGAAACTGTCCTCAAAAAATTGCTCTTGCTTTATTGTCCCCTCTTTCTCTCTCTCTCTCTCTCTCACGATTGTTCAATATTTTTACTTCGAAAAATAAAAATTGTTATTCTTCCAAGGAAAAATTTGATATTTCTCTTCTCTACTTTCTTGAAAAATTTCAAATTAAAAAATAAGTATTTTTATTTTTCTTTCGCGTATCTTTTATTTGTTAAATTTCATCGCAGAAAAACAGATGGAAAAATATTTTCCCTCCACGTTTGTTATTTCAAAGAAATAAATTAATTTTTTTCTTCAAAAAGAAAAAATAAAGTAAACTATATAAAACGTTGAAAAATTTTATAACTGTACTGAAAATTTATTAAATATATGAGAAAAATATTTTACAAAAAAAACCAAATTGAAGAAATGTGTAAAAATAAGGAAATAAATAAAATTGTGGAAATGTATGAGAATAAAGAAATAAAAAAAATTAAATACAGAAAAATAAAGAAATAGCCAATATTAAAAAGAATTTGGAAAAGAATTAAAAAAATTAAATATATAGAAAAATAAAGAATTAAAAAAATTAAATGTAGAAAAATAAAGAAATAGACAAAATTAAAGAAATAAATAACAAAAAAAATTAAACTTGAAATTTCACTAAAGGAATGAAATTAAAAAACAAAGACAAAAAGAAAAAAAAACAACAAATCCAGTAACTAAACAAAATGAGTAAATTAAAAACTAATTATTGAAATAAATGTAAAAAAATCGTGTTGAATATAAATTTATCGGAAAAGAAGAGAATAAAAAAAGAAATAGTGAAGAGGAGGTTGAAAATTTTTATGGGAGGACATTGGCATCGGTTGATTAAGAAATTGGTCGTCTTGAGAGAGGCAAACGTAAATGCAGGGGCAGTCTGGCTTCAATAATGATTACACTGCAACGATGCAATGCGCTTGAGTGCACCGGTGCACTAAATTAATAAATTTGCATGTCCCGACATCCTCGCACGCTCTCTTACAGAGAAGCAACGTGCCATCATCATCATCATCATCATCATCATTGTTCGTTCAATATTGTGTTAACGTTGCGTCACTTCAGAACACGTCAACACTTTTCTTCCTTTTTTTTCTTTTTTATTAAACCCAGAGTATTTAATTTGCATCATCAACTTTTGTATAATTACAACATCCGGAAGTTACTTCAATTATTATTATTATTGCTATTATTTTATTATAATATTTAATAATTAATATTAATAACAATAATGATATAATAATAAAAAAGGCTATTAAAAGGTATTAATTAAATTTATTTTAAGTTGTTTGTTTTTTATTTTCTAACTTTTTAAATAATTTTTTTTAATGTTTTCAATTTTAATTAATATATATTGGAAATCATTGAATTCTTGCAATGAATTTTATCAAAAAATTTTTAACTAATTAAATTCTTGAGCAGAATTTCATTATTTATGAATAATAATAATTGAATACTTGAGAAAAATTTTATTAAAATTTTTGAATGTTCTTTTGACGAATTATTTTGAATTGTTTTAAAATAATGGAGTTTCCATAATAATTTTAATTGAAAATATTAAAAGCAATTGAATTTTATAAAGATTTTCTTCAAAGTTTTTATAATAAACGATTTTGTCTTTTGAAGAATTTTGTTAATTTTTTTAAAAATAATAATTAAATTTTTTCCAGAATATTATAAGGTAATTTTTGAAAATAATTGAATTCTTTGGAGAAATTTTATAAAAATTCCACTGTGAATAATTGAATTCATGCCAAGAAATTTATTAAAATTTATGAAAATAATTGAATTCTTATAAAAAAAATGCTACCAAAAATTTTAAGAATAATTAAATTATTTAGAAAAATTTTATTACAATTTCGAAAAATAATTGAATCCTTTCGAGATATTTTATTAAAATTGTATTGGAAAAAATTAATTTCCTGAAAAGAATTTCAATATATTTATAAAAATAATTGAATTTCTGCGAAGAATTAATTTATTTTTGAAAATAATGTGAATAATTGAATTTTAGTGAAGATCCTAGACATTAATTCAAAATTTAAAAGACACATTTAATTAATTGTATTATAAACCAATTTTTTAATTTATAAATATATATTCAATTATTAAATATATATTTTTGTATAGAAAAGGTTTCTTTCTTTTATTCTCTGTGTTTATTTTAGACAAAAAATCATAGAAATGACTTTTTCAATAAAAGAAGAAGAAAAAAAAAGTTTCGCCTCTCTCACCACGTATGAAGAAAGACAAACAGAGAATAAATTTATGTTAACAACTTGAATCGTTTTGACCTCTCTCACTCTCTCTCTCTCTCTCTCTATTTGAATAACAGAAATTATTTGCAAATGTCTCTAATGTTTTTCTATAAGGATTTTGAGGTGGAGAAAAAGAAGAACTGGTTTTTGAGAGAGATTCAAAGAGGTATATCTATATTAATACACAAACACGTAGGATATTAAGTGCCCTGTAGGAGATGAAATCACAGTTGAACCATGACGTCACTTACAATTTGCACCAATCCTGCATGACAATGAGCTTGTTCTCCGATTATGGTACAAGGTTTTTCTTATAATTTCTTTCCCGGGTGTTGTAAAAATAAAAAAAAAACCGGGACATTCACTCGAGACGTCAAAAGCGACTACACCAAGTACTTAAAAGCGAAATTTGTTTTTTTATATTTCTCTTCTCTCTTCTTTACACACTTATTCATTGACATTAAGAAGAAAAAAATGATAAAAACTGCGAGCAAAATTTCTATGTGAACAAACAAAATTTTAATTCTATTTCTTACTGTTTCTTGTAACAGAAATTTTCGAGTTTAGTTTTTACAATTTCTTTTTGAAACCAAAATTTTGTATTTATTTTTTACAATTTTTTTTTTTTTAAATAGAAATTTTGTATTTTATTTTCAACAATTTCTTTCGAAATAGTAATTTTGTATTTTTCTCTCAAAAAATTTCCTTCAGTTCGTGTAATTGAATCAAATTGGGAACAAAAGGCTTTTAGGGGAAAACACATTCTCGAGAGTGAAGAAGAGAGAAAGGAGATAAAAAAGGTGAAAAAAGAAATTCGTTTTAACTTGACACTTCATCGACACGCGCTTACTGCACTATAGTTGCAGTTCCATAGCGAGAAGTATTTGCTTCCGGATCAAGTAACGTTAGATCGTTTGGAGACTTCCTGTCCACGGTTCCGTGACATCCTGTTAATCGTCTTGACAGTCAGTCCAAGTCATTTGAGAAAAAACGGGAAAAAAAAAATTCACAATCAAAATAACTAAATCGAGAAATTAATAACAAAAGCAGAATTAAAATAAATCTGGAAATAAGAAAAGAAGAATTAAAATGAAGAAATCGAGAAATAAAAAGAGCAGAATTAAAATAAATCTAGAAACAAGAAAAGAATAATTAAAATGAAAAAATCGAGAAATAAAAAAAGAATATAAAATAAGTTGAGAAATAAAAAAACGAAAGAACAATGAATATTTATTTTAATTGTTCTTTTTTTCTTGTTCTCGAAAAATAGCAAACAAAGAAAGAATTTCGAAAAATTAAAAAACAGAGAGAAACAAATGACAATTTTTGTGTCTTTCGGAGTGATTAGTCATCAGGGAAGGAAGACCAAGTTTCATCATCACCTTTCTCAATAAACGAATAACTTTTTACATCACACTTCTATTCAGATATTTTTTACAATAACCGTTATAATATATACTTTCATACTTTTTTTATAAACCAAAGCAATTGCTTCTTAGAAATGTGCCCGAAAACGGTTCTTTTAATCGAACCAAAAAAAATAATTATCCAAATCGAACTCATTAGAATTACTTTTACAAATATTCTAAAGAAAAAATATAATTCTCAACTTTTACAAATATATAAAAATTTAATTCTTGTGCTCCAAAAATTCTGAATGCTCAAATAATAAAAATATTTTATAACAAAATTTAAAAATTTTGATTTTTATTGCAGACAGTATTTGCAATAAAAAAACACAAACGTAAATTGAACAATTTTGAAACTTTATAAATTATATTAATTTGAAAATTTTAATTTTTCTTCCTCGATTGAATTAGAAATCAATTGTTTGGCTCTGCAAATAAAAATCAGAAACGTTCAAAATTCTTCGGAAGAAATGAATTATTTTCAAAAATATCATTAATGATGATTCTTGTCAAGAATTCAATTGTTTTTATAAATAATAAAATTCTTCACAATCATTTTTGAAAATTATAATTAAATTCTCTGCAGGAATTCAATTATTTTTATAAATAAAAATATTTTTTGCAGAACTTTAATTATATAAACAAATGTTATTAATATTCATTGTAAAAATTCAATTATTTTCATAAATAATAAAATTCTTCTTAGGCAATCAATTATTTTCAATAATTCTAATCAAATTCTTAAATTCTTTGCAAGAATTCAATTATTATATTCATATATTATAATAAAATTTTTCACAGAAATTGAATTATTTTTGAAAATTGTAATCA